AAACTCGAGTCGGCCAAACACTTTGATTTTATAGCCCATGCAAATAAAATATTAAAGAGTTAAAATTAACTAGAGAAGAGAAACAAGAATGTTGCAAAGTGCACTTGTGCTTTTATTGTGAAATCAAATAGCACAACATAAACAACTGTATTTTGAAACCTCAAATACAAAGGCACGCAAACTTTGATACACAGGATAACATTTTTCAGCAAAGATATTAGAAGATTAAGTCAAAAAATAACATCAAGATTACCAAATTAGAGATCGTGGAACAGATAAATATTGCCACATCATCAGATTTTATCATATACTGTGAACCTTCTTATTGTTTTAAATTCCCTTTTAAAATAGATTTTCATCCACATAGCATAATATTTAAAGCCTTATTAGATTTTAAAACCTTTGTTTGTTTGATTGATAAAAATCTTGTAAATTTCATAATCTTTCTATAGTTCATAACAAATGTCTTGTGATAGTAGAGTAGTTGATCATAGATGCATAAATTCAAAAATGACATTATACAAAAATGATATCAAAAAACTATTGTATTTTGATATCAGATAATATATGAGAAAGTTAAATAATATAATTAGTTCTTACTCTCATAATGTTGTATTATATACTTCTTGTTTAGATATGATCAATCCGAATATAGATTAAAAAAGCAAAAACTAACATATCAAATCATAGTTTTTCATAATTTTTCTAAACGTACTAAAAATATTCCAAATCCGTGTCCTTACCAAATTCAAGAATCCAAAATCAAAGTGTTGTTAATGATCGGTGGCCAAGCTGGTAGCTGAACAAGAATGATAGCGATCAAGAATGAAATAGTGTTTAGAATTTACACAATTTTTACATTTCAACCAGTTCAAGAATCAACCAAATGACCAACAGCATATGAGATATATTGAGATGTGTCCAAGAAGAAGAACGTTAATACACTTACTACCATTAATTCACGTATTGTGACATCAAACTTTAAGAAGGTGTGCAACCTCTTTTTGAACTAATCTATAATCTATTTCATAATTAGTTTGCTGCATTGCAATAACATTTTGATAAAAAATTTGCAAAGAACTTCATTTGACATTCCAAATCACATGCTAGAGGTTTTAGCTAATTTTCAAGAAAAAAAAAGGATTCACTTTAGATTTGTGTGAAGTATCGTAAAGACTAACAAGGTCACAATCAGGAATTTGTTCCCATTGTCAATTATTTCAATGCTTTTTGATCAACTTGATTAAGCAAAGATTCACACCAAGATTGATCTTTGTAGACCGTAAAATTTAGTATGTATCAAGAAAGATAACAAATGAAATTATATGTAGATGGCGTTCGGAACTAGCTATGGACATATTAAATACAATGTCATGACTTTTGATTTTATCAACACACCTATCATCTTCCAACACTTGATGAACGACATATCTGAAAATTTTTAGATGGTTTTGTTGTGTGTTTTTTTACAACATATTGGCGTTTTTCAAGAATGAAAAAATCACATCAACCATGTCCGACTAGTATGGAACTAATTGCTATATTATAAGCCAAGTTTACACATTGTGTATTCCGTCAAACTCAAGTTGAATTTTTAGGCTACATCATTTTTGGAAAGTATCCATCTATAGATTCAAAGGAGATTCAAACTATCATTGATTGGAAGAAATTGGCTATGGTTCAAGACGTATAATGTTTTCTCGGTTTTGTGAACTTTTATAAAATTCTCATTCAAAACTATTACAAAATTGTTGCATCGTTGATCTCATTGATTTGCAAGAACAAGCTTGAGTAGAGTGCAAAAATAGACCAAACATCTGGAAATCTGAAGAAAACGTTTACAACATCTATTTTGATGTATTTCTAATTCTAGAATTTATTTTTTCTAGAAACGGATGCTTCTGACTTTGTACTTGAAGCAGTTCTTTTACAATTCAACGAAGACAAACGTCTTCATCTTCTTGCATTTTACTTGTAAAAATTTATTGTTGTCGAGATTGATTATGAGATCCACAACAAAACCCTCTTAGTCATTGTGAACTCTTTCCAAGAGTGTCATAATTTTATCAAAAAAACTCAACATTCAATAGATCAAGTTCACATTCTACATCAATCACAAGAATTTTGAATATTTCATGTCTAACAAGATATTGAATCAACAACAAACGCATTAAAATATATTGCTTTTGCGCTTTAACTTTTTCATTGCGTACAGTTCTGGTTTTCAACAAATTTTGATCTTGGATTATTTCTTGCGTAACTTGCATCAAGGAAAAAAAATTAGCTTACAAGCAACAAAAAACTACCCTTTTCAAACCTAAACAACTTGAGTTGAAGATTGTAAATACCAGATTTTTGGTGTATGCAACTTTTTACCAAGATATCCAAGTAAGTTTAACATCCAAATTTTAGACCTTGAAATTATAATCAATTTTGATATCTTCAACCTTAGAGAACTTCCAAGTTCAAATTCACAGTTTATAGAGTTGAAATCTTCAAATCAAACTACTTTAAGTACACATATATCTACATCACATAATAATACTATTACAAAGTCTAATGTTGAGATGTTGAAATGTTGAGACTTTTCATTGGCGATACAATCTAATTATGAGAAGATCATGAAGATGAGGTCTAGAAATTTTTGAAGAACACAAATGCAAAAAACCGTAAGATGGTGTGTCACAATGTCTGACTATCGCTCTAGATCCAAGATTCATCGTCATCAATCATACTTGTTACTTCAAATGCAATGCAATTTTAGAAACCTCGTGAACATACATATTTATGAATTTTATTGTGTATGTTTCAAAAATCAAATCTTTTGATTTGGTTTTTGTAATAGTGGATCGATTTAGAAAGATGTCACATATTGTGTCTTGCAACAAGACTATCTCATGCAAAGAACTGTCACAATTTTTCTTTTGAAAAATGTGTATAAATATAATGGACTTTTCTACGACATCATCTTTGATTGTGATACGCAAATCATGTCCAAGTCCATAGCAATTCATATTCAATATCTTACAAATGAAGATCAATCTATTTAAAGCGTATTATTCTCATACAAATTAACAAGTTGAACTTATGAATCAAATATTTAAGCAGTATTTAAGTTAATCCATTATACTCTTTGAACAAGAGTCAAGACATGAAGTCAAGGCTGGTAGAAGCTCAAAAATAGTTAGAAGAGAAATGCAAACAAATATTGAAAGAAAAATTTGAAAATCTCAATTAGAGATAAACTCTGGCTTTTGCATTATAATTTAAAGAGTTGTCAACGGAATGAAAAACTTGACTATTGTCATCTTGGATTATTTTTTTGTTAATAAGAAGATAAACAAGTTAACATAAATGTTTCATGTTTTCTTGCTTGAATTATATAGAGAATTGACTATTCAGTGAAGGTTGCTAGCACCTCTGCCATCAATCCAGATTAAAGGTTGAAAAAATTTGAAGTGTCTAATAAAATCAAATCTTGTTTTGTTTGAAGAAGAGTAGATTATCTTGTACATTTACAGCGCTATGAAGTAAGAGAGCTAATCTTGCAAACACTCCTAAATGATCAAAAAAATTTCATTGTCAATACCCAATAAAACCTAATGACAAAGTTGTAATCATGTGACTATCACACAACTTCTTGTAATAGATTGTTGGTGTCTGTTTTTGATAATATAAATTGAATAATTTGTGAAACTAGTTGCTTGAAGGGGTTGATATAAATATAAATGTAGAGAATTTCTATTCTTTGTTACACTTAATTCCTTTTGATTTAGGTTGTTATATTAGGGATATTATTAGTTACCGTTCTAGTGTTCTTGGCACTAACTAGAAATTGGCCTTTGGAGTCTTTTCTCTTGTTTGTGGTTGTTTATATTATGTTTTTCAACCTATTTAACCTTTGGGTCTCCTAGGCTTGATCTATTATCATTTACCATACCTATTTAAATCATTATATTAGAAGACAATAAGTAATTTGATTTAGGTTGTTATATTAAGGACATTATTAGCTACCGTTCTAGTGCTCTTGGCATTAGCTAGACATCAGCCTTTGTAGTCTTTTCCCTTCTTTGTGGTTGTTGTGTTTTTCAACCTATTTAACCTTTGGGTCTCCCTGGCTTGATCTATTACCATAACTTTTCCCTTGTTTGTGGTTGTTGTGTTTTTTCAGCCTATTTAACCTTTGGGTCTCCCTGGCTTGATCTATTACCATAACTATTTAAACGGTTCTAGTGCTCATGGCACTAGCTAGACATCGGCCTTTGTAGTCTTTTACCTTGTTTGTGGTTGTTGTGTTTTTCAGCCTATTTAACCTTTGGGTCTCCCGGGCTTGATCTATTACCATAACTATTCCCTTGTTTGTGGTTTTTGTGTTTTTCAACCTATTTAACCTCTGGGTCTCCCTGGCTTGATCTATTACCATAACTATTTAAACGGTTCTAGTGCTCTTGGCACTAGCTAGACATCGGCCTTTGTAGTCTTTTACCTTGTTTGTGGTTGTTGTGTTTTTCAGCCTATTTAACCTTTGGGTCTCCCGGGCTTGATCTATTACCATAACTATTCCCTTGTTTGTGGTTGTTGTGTTTTTCAACCTATTTAACCTTTGGGTCTCCCTGGCTTGATCTATTACCATAACTAATTTAATCGTTATATTAGAAGACAATAAGTAGTTTTCCATATCACATAAGTATCAACATCGACAGAGGTTGAGATTTGAGGGTTAAATCACAATGGTCAGGCAGCTTTAGTGTTTTTTTCCCTACTTCGGACATGTGTACTGAGAATACTTTCCAGTGGCGGTTTGTCGCTATCACATGTACAGGTTACAGTGCAGGCAGAAGTTCTTGATACTGCCAGGCATGAGAATAGTTTCAGGTGATAACATATTGGTGATACCAAATTCATTTCTCACGTCGGGCTGGTGGTGTGTGAACTGTGTCATTTAATTACACACAACAAATGTGTTTAGTAAATGAATTTTTAATCACTAAACTTATGAGTATAAATTACATTCTATTTGGGATACATGCAGACTTACAAGAGGGGAAAATCTGCGATGTAATGGTACACCCAATGGGAAGGCTTCGTCTAACCCTTCGATTATTAGCTCCTGTCGTAAAAAAAATTGGCATGTGGTTGAAACCCACCGGCTATGCTTAGCCAGAAAGAACCTACCTACTCTAGTTTCGCTCAGGGTGTCCACGCGACTATTATGACATGATCTCGATATCTAGCCCAGACCTAAACTATTTTCTTCTTGAGAGGTGATATTGACTGTTTAGAGTTAAACAACTCCTTCTCTAATTTCAAGTTTATCTGTTTTCACTTCTCCGTTTATTAAACTCTTCAAGTTTTCGGGAGAGCGACAAGAATTTGCGATTACTCCATTCCCTTGGCTTTTTGTACTCGAAGTTTTCTGGACTTTAATTTCTCCGTTCGGCATGTCTGAACCAGGGCTGCTGGCCAACTCCGGCAGCTCGGTAAGAATAGCACGCCCACTGGTTACGTTCATCTCACGTATAATCGCAATTAAGTCAAGGTCCTGAAGAATCTCCTCCATGGTCACATGTAGTCCTGAAATTCAGAGATTCCAGAAAATACGTAAATATTCCCTTGTTTCGAGTGACAATGAGCGTAACATTACATTACACATCCTTTCAATAATGAACTTTCTAACTTGCCTACAATTGAATAAAAGTCATCACTAACTCTCAGCATTTGACTTCTCCACATATTGAACTGAAGTGATGAGATATTAAAGAGCAAACGTACTAAAACGCCAGTAATGCTTTGGGTTTGTCGGGTCGTTGATTGTCTCTTCCTTAGCTGGCCTCTTGGTATATTCTTCTTTCAAGGCCATGAAATCCTGCGAATGAAGCAATCCAACAACGTTCACTTAAATGTTATCATTGCTCTTTGATCGAAATCATAAAACTGAAATGAAAGAAGGAGTACATTATCAGCTATTCCAGGAAGCGCACCTGAATCGGAAAGATAGACCAAACGGAAGGAGAGTCCAAATGTTGCTGTAGAATGCTGTGAGCAACACGGGTATCACAGTTGGCTGGCGGTGTGTCGCTATAGCTCAGTACATTTTTGAAGTAACGAGCACGTCTACCTTCATCTTCCTCCCACCAAGCACGCAATGTGGAACAGTCATGACAAGAGGCGGCGCAAACCTGTAAAATAGTATCCTCCATCGTCAACTAGGGTCAGTGACTATCTAAACAAATCGCTATTTGCAACGGATTCAAGATTGCAATTTCATCATGCATATCATCTTTCTCCCATGTAATCGGCTTGACAAACCAGTTGCAGCTTTTTCAGGCGGCAAGCGCACACGATTCATTGTCATGTCCGAAACTAACCGTCATGTAGTCGTATTCAGCTGGAATACCAAATTCTTGGCCAGGTTCACTCGGCATCCGTTGGATGCGAAGACCTAACAACCCCAGCTCCTCAAGGACCTGCACGGATAAAATAGTCCCAGTTGAAAAAGGACTCAAGTCGTCCAAAGACCAAACGCATACAGTGTGTCCATCCCATTAAACGCCTCAAGGCCAGGTATTTCGCGCGAAAAAGCCGAGAATCCGAACATTCTTGGGAAATGAAGATCGATAATTGAAACAAATACGGTTTGAACATACCGGTGCAACGCATGCTGGTACCATGCCAAGGTCTTCCCCGCATGCCAGCATATCCGAGGAGTTCATCAACACGGGCAGAGTTTTCAATGCATTATCTGTCCACAGCTTTTCTTGTCTTTGGAAGAAGTAGTCATAGTATTTACTCTTCAACACTTCCTTGCTGCAGTGAACGATTGAGCAAATTTGTTTAGAGTTTGAGTAAGAAAAGGACGTCATGTATTGAAACGATCTCCCATTGTATACAAGACCTACCACTGCATTTTCCAATAGTACATGATTATCCGGGTTAAATTTATGTGTACTTTTATGTCGTTTATGACTGTCGAATGGCCATATATTAATCCACCTGGTTGCAAAGCATGTTACACTCGAGATTGAACTAGACAGCTTCCAAAGAGTTTACAGGCTTGTTAACCTGCGCGTAAATAAGAAGTGGAAATACCTGTGATCGTCTAGCTCATGGAAGCTGGCGGTATCCTCCAGGGCAAACCTGGGATAAAACATTCTCGGATTTTCTGAATCCCTTATGAGTACGGCTTCCTGCATTTACAGCATCATATTGATTACTACCCAAGCATTACCTGCAATGTCGATAATGATGTTCAAGCAAGAACATGTTTTATTCACTGGCTTACATGAAGGAGATCAAAAAGTCCTTTCCGTGTTTCTTCAGCTTCTTGAATCAACCACTGAGGTGAATCTTCTCTCAGCTGGATTGATGAAGCAATCTTCTTCTCAGTATTGAATTCTTCCTTGAATTGGTAGCACAAGTGTTGAGTTTCGTCAAAGTACTTGTTTGCAATTTCAATCCATCTGTTACCAAACTTCTCCTGCAGTCACGTGATAGATAAATATCAATGCACAGCTTGATAAATTGAAAGATTGTGGTTAACGAAATCGATGCTGAGTGAAGGTTAGAAATCTATATGTTGCTACTCTCCACCAAGAAACCATTCCACTTTGACTTTATTTCACGAAGTCGAAGTGCACTTTGTAAAAGCAGTTTTACCATGAGCAGGTGGCACCGGACATATGGTTCGCTCAATCGGTTGAAGTCCCATATACCTTCGCACTCCAACTCCTCCTGTCAAGTGGCGTTGTCATAAACAGGTTAGAGAAACATTATTCCCATCACTGTGAGCTCAGAAACTCCATTAAAGAAGAACTTATCAAAACTTTGGAGAATTCATTCCCGAAATCGTAAGCGTCCCGGTAAACTTCCAGGCCTGCACATTCCAGCAGGTCCGGGAGACATTGTGCGATTGGACGGCGCCTGTATAACTCTTACTTTTCACACACCAATAAGAAGATTGCATCAACTTCTCAGGGAGGAATTTGATTTTCTCGTGGCAGATTCCTTCAGCTTATCTCCAATTAATATTCCTACACTGCGAAAGGACTGGGCATACTTTTCTTTTACTGGTACACAATGTTACAAGCGAGTCTCTACCTGCTCTTGTAGAAAGACTGTATAGCAGGCTGTTACTACATAGCAGAGCTCATGCTCTAAACTTGGAACATATATATGCATTCATATTTCAATATCTTACCGCAGATATTGGGATAGAGGGTCGGAAACGACCCATCAATCCAGTCACGGCGTGATCTGGCAGCTCCCAGATGCGGAAAAACCCTAGGATATGATCAATACGGTAGGCACTGAAATATTTCGCCATCTGCACCCATTACCAACTCATGATGATTATATAACTGAAATATGCTCGCGACAATCCAAAGGCCGAAATTCTTGTAAACAGATTGTTTTCCAGGTCGCGCCAATCATCAAAGATATTCATAGCGAAGAAGCTGAAGCAGGTGAAAACAAACCTGAGTAAGTCTAGCCCTCCACCAGCCGTAGTTGTCTTTAGCCATTTCCTCCCAATTATAGGTGGGGAAACCCCAATTTTGCCCATTTCTGTCGAAGTAATCAGGAGGAGCGCCGGTAGAAGCATTCATTCGGAAAAGCGTGGGAGCGACCCATGTGTCCACACTGTTTCTGTCCACTCCAATGGGCAAGTCACCTTTCAACACTACCCTGTTCATGCGAGCGTACTCCGCGACTTCCACCATCTAAAATGAAATGCTAAAGAACGTGAGCCATGACATAAATAGCTGGTCTCTTTGGAACATGCGAGGCATCTTAGACATTACCCATCAAAAGTTCACGACGGGGCACGAATTGATACCTGTGTATGCAGGTGATATTGGAGGTAGTAATTGAAGGCAATTGCCGAGTAGTGATGGCTAGTAGGTGCAGTAAGACGTTCGAGCTGCAATACAACATCCACATAATTTGTAAACATCTACTCCTCTAAAGGATACATATTTCACGATACTGAAAGTCATGGCCTCTATATGTTTCAAGTGAGAAACTACCGCAGTACAGAGGAGAATTCGATCGAATTCGAGTATACCTTCTCATTAGAAAAAACTGCAAATCGACCCCATTGTGAATGATCTGATGTTCCGAATAAATCTCTCAAGAAGCAGAAGGCGGAGTATGGTTTCAACCATCCCTGTAGACGAATATCCAGGTCAACATTAGCGAAGCACTGCGAACTAGGGGTAAGTGAAGGCGAAGAGTTGAGCTGGAAGCATATAGTGAAAAATCTTGGTGTTACATCAGTGAAGGACTATCCTTACTGTACCTGATTCTCCTCAAAGTACTGCTGAAATGCGGGTGAGCTGAATACTTCGTCTCTTTCAAGTAGGAAAACTTTCTTCGTGATCGCTAGCTTGGCTGCTAGAGTAGCTTCATAATCAACTTCTTTCAGATCGAGTTGTTGTCTAATTTCTTCTATTTCCTCCTGCATTAGGTTACCTTCATATGTCAGTAACGAATTGGACTGTACATGAATCACAATGTAGTTTGACGGCTATAAATGAGACTCTCTACTTTCGTCCTAATTTCTTTTACTGCAATAATACAAGGAGTGGTTCCAAAAGCCTGCAGTTATTGAAATTTATGGCAAGTTTCACGAACAGTGAACAAACAGGAAAAGGCACGAAGACACGGGAAACCGATAAGCAACACAGAGTAAAGCGAAGCTGAAACGAAAGTGGTGTTGATTTACCTTGATATCCTGTGGTAAATTTTTCGATAGAGCTTGCAATCTCAGATATAGTGGGTGAAGCGCAAAAACGGACAGTGAACTGTTCAGAATAACAACATAGAGCCATATTAAATAATTGTCACATGCTACTCGGATTACGGAACTGTACGGTGTTAAACAGAAGTTTGGGTTGAAAAGTATTAGTGACAGTCCGAGAGATGCATGCTGAATGAACGCTCTGGATATCTCACCTGTACGGGTACGAATCCCACCACATTCCGTTCACAGATGTGTCGTTGATAGGCAATAGCTGTACAAGTCTCATTCCAGACTTCACAGCTAAATCTATCATCAACTTCAAGTCAAGGTATTCTCCGGAACCTACATCATCCAATGTCCTCAGTGAAAACACAGGCACCGCAATACCTGCTCCTCTCCAAGGTCTTGCCTGTTGAACGATACAAAAAACCGAATCCCCATGTCAATATCACGTCAAGATGATCTGGAAGCTTAAAAAGTGCTCGGTGGAGAAAAGCAATGTCATTGGTGAAAAAAGCCCCGCAGATCAAGCCATACCCTGAAAAAACCATCGGAGACTACGATCAGCGTTGACGGCATTCTGGCGGAAGTATCAAGACTCAATTCTCTGTCTGCTCCAAGTTCAGGCACTACGTCACCGGCTCTATTTCGAAGTATGTACTTGTATCGAAGAGAAAAGTCAGCCCTCTTGATCATGACCTCCGCCTGCCAGAGAGACCCTCCGACACGGTAAAGTGGAACCGCAGCTTCATTATCCCACTTTCCCAGAGATGATGCACTTCCGAGCACACAGACCTGAGATGAAGCGATGACGTTACGAACCGATTGTTAGATGTAGCGAAGTACTCATGTATCTATGTGTGTCACACACCAATTCAACAAGCCATCTCCATGTACATTTCTAAGATTTCCTTACCGTTTGTCCGCTTTCCAATCGTGAGCAGTTGACCTTGAAACGAACAGCTACTGAATCTGCGGTCCACCAACGAATCCATGAGTTAACATTCACAAACGCCAAACTGATTCTAACATGCCCGCGCACCAAAGGTCTCCATTAATCCAAGTAAAAGCCTAGAGGAACATGGTAAAGTATTGCGCTTCGCGCGTGGGCGAGCGACTACTAGATCCCCACCTTGCACGTTGATTTCGGATACGAAGGGCGACGTCTCCACGGTAATCTCCTTGCCTTCGTGGTCATTGCCTTTACCAAATAGTACTTTTTTGAATGCACTTCTTGTCATAAGAATTTCGGGTGAAGTCCCAACCTGCAAAATTGATAACCACTTGGTTCAGAAAGAATACTCGAGAGGAACTCAGATCTGAAAGAAAGGTACCGTAGCTGTGACCCGGTTTGAGGTTTCCTGAATCCTCTAACCTGACTCGCTTAAAGTGTGCGCATTGTAGCAGAGAAGAGAAATTCGTCTGCCAATACCATGTGAAATGACATTTGGGACAATAATGGGAGGATGCTCCAGGAATTATATACTATCCGTACTACCTCGAGAGAACTTGAGGTCCAAGTCCTCCAAATTGAACTCAATCTCGTCTTACCACCCTACAATCGGTGACATGCAGCCTGACATCAATCTTCAAACCCACCGTGCGAACAGAAACCCGACAAGGACGCGAAACAGAAGACTCAATATTGTAAACGCTACTGGCCGATCGACATCTTACGTGGACTGTCAATACGGAAATTTAGCAAATCCACCAGAAGTGCGGGTCAACCATCGAACGAAGTTGGAGTACGTTTCAAAAGAAGGAACGGCGGATCACAAGCGCTTACTCAACCGCATACGACTGAAGTAAAGTTTATGAGCTCCTTGACACCGCTCGGGATACTTGGTACGTATGGTAGACGTGATCGATAAAAAGTGGCCGAGTACAAGTTTCCCAGTAATCCAGCACAACAGATGCCTCGCACGAGGGCTAAATATGATTCGTCAACACTCGTACATGCAAAAGGATCGCGGTTTGGCCTCTCGAGCTTCGAACAACAGAATCGTACCCGAGAAACTGGCAAGCAGTCTTAAGAATCTCCCCGAAAATGAAAGCTGACAGAAAGAGCCTAAGATCAACAGTGGAGGACGCAAATATGCTTGTATGTACCTGCCAACTATCGTGCACATCAACAGTAGCTCCATCTTCGATTCCTTGAGGTAAAGCCAAAAAGCGACGACTTCCCGCCTCCCACTTTATCACATTGAACTTGTCATCGACAAGACAGTAGTTGTATTGAGTTTCGAAATGATCAGGTACCGAAATTAGCGCCTGCCAGACTAGACTTTCACCTTCGTGGCGAGGAGTCATCCACTGGCCCTGTGCGACAGTCCAGTTCCCTAACAAAGCGTCGGAGCCAGATATCAGAAGATTTTGACCCCACTGAGTGTAATACGGGATTCTGAATCGAATGTTAATTTTCTTGACCCGCCGAAACTGAGGAGCGCGGACTCCAATATCTCGGCCGCTCCCCATCCTTCCGCGGCTGCAGAATCGCCAAGAGAATTCTGGGAGCACAAGAAGTACCAATAGTGCTGGCTCGACTGATCTGATCTTTGGTCAGAAATCCTGCAGTTCAAGGTGCTGCCAGTGAAGCTCTCCAAAACGGGAAGCCGTCGCAATTGAGGACCGCGGTTACATGATTCGACAGCACACTGCGAAAGACGAGCCGCCCAGTCCGCAGTCACTGCGCGCAGAGACGGAAGAATGCAGCCCCCTCCAAGACCCTCACCGAGAAATGAATGACACCTTCCGTATACCACAGGCCGCCTCGCTATAACGGCGCGGTGAAGCTCAGCCCAAAAGCCCGCGAGGCCGAATCGGACAGAGCTGCAGCGGGCAGCAGCAAAGCAAAGCAACGCAGCTCCAAACGAGAGCTCCACGTTCGGACGTCGAGCCCGGAGATATCAGAAGCGAACAAAAAGACCTACGCCCGAGTAACGCCAAAAAGCACGAGCACGAGTAGCCCTCTTAACCGATTTTGACCTCTTGCAGCGGCGGGACTGTCAACTCCGCAACTCCACAATCGGGCCAGTGCTCTTTCTCCGCCCTCTTCTCCCACCGAACGAGGCGAGCACGGATCGCCCAACTTGCAGCAGAGCTCCTCCCTCGAAAGCCAGCCTCCAATCCTATTCCGCGGATTGGACCACGAAGAAGAAAGAAGACGAAGACGAAGAAGAAGAAAGCGAGGGCGAGGCACGCATCGACGAACCACGAATTCAAGAAGGAGAAGCAATAAGGCGGGGGAGCCTTTTCTACGCGCGCGGCTCCGCAGCAGAATTTATCGAGCTCTGCAAAATCGAAGCTCGCGGTGTTCGACTGTCTGTCTGTGTATCGACCGAGGTCCCAGCGAGAGGCTCGGCTCTGGGGACGGTACTTTCGGAGAACAGCGGATATAGACGCGACGCTCTTATGAGCTGCTCGGCACGGCGGACAACGGCGAGCCCGCGAGCCGGGAAACGAACCCGGCGAGGAGGTTGCCACGTGGAGTCCGCCCTGGAGCGTGCGTGGCTGGGGCAGGGGCCGCCTACCGCTTAACCCTAGGAAGTAACCAGATGCGAAGCCTCGGTTCATCTGACCTTTCTCGAACCACCACGTGGAGCTCCCTGAGTTCGCAGGGCTCGCCGGTCAGCTCCCGTCCCATTCGCAGGCGTGACAGACGGTCTCTCGCGCCCGCGCAGCACACTTGTCACCGGCGCCAACCTTGTGGGCAGCCCAAGTCCCCGTCCACCCCCTGCGTCCGGTACCGGGAAGGGCGTGCCAGTTCCCGGCAGCGAAAGCTCGAGCAGCCGGCTCTGCAACACAAAGGGGCCTGGAAAAGTGCAGAAAGGAAGAGGAGGTCGAGTTCGAACCCGACGGCCGCCCGCGGACGAGCTCCGCCAGTCGACAAAGTTGTAGGCGCATGACGCCGGCGGCGCGCGGGACAGGTCAGACTTCGTGCTGCCGAGTGGGAAACCGTGCAGCTGCTGTTTCGGCTCCTGTTGCCGACCGTGCGTGGAATGGGACCTGTTCGCTAATGCTATGGGTACTCCTTATCCGGATCACTTGCTTCCGCACTGCTGCTGCTGCTGTTGACGAGAAACACGTTGGAAATTGTATAAAGCCCTGTGATTTCCATATTCTAAATCTGCAGCTAATTGTTTGTGCGAAGTTTTTGAATAAGTGGTGCTCGTCGACGCCTCTTCCTTTCTGGTGTGGAGTGGAGCGGAGCGGAAGTGGAGAGTCGACGCGTTTCAGTAAGGTGGACGGTGGTGGCCTACGAGAGCTTTCACATTAAATCTCTTCCTTTTTCTTTCAAAGGAGCTATTTCTGGTATTGTCAAAGCGAATCGTGCGAATAATCATTTATAAAAAATGTGACCCCTCACTAACACTTTGTTCTGGTCCTAAGACCCCCAAGGTCTTGTCATCTATCGCAGCTTGAAGGCTGAAGGCCCGTTACATTCAATTAACTGGTTTGACTTGACCACATTTCTAATGTTATATGGAGCGCGAGTTTCACTCGTTTGATATTCTCAGTCCTTTTGAATCAATACAAGCACATTGTTCCAGGAGCATCCAGCCCTAATCTTCTCCTTAGCTTGTGCAGTTTTGAAGGAAAGCTGCTTTCGCGGGTGTGTGATCATGGTGCCGGGAAGATACATCGGGTTTTGTAGCTTGGTTCATTCTTGCATGTATAGTCACCGAATCGCAGAAAACACCTTCTTCTCCTCGTGTTTAGCACATGCTGGGATAGATGTGGCACACTGTACAGAGGTCCATCCAAGCGCAACTGCCATCAACTTTGTGCTTTTGGACACTTTTGCCTCAGAGTCGTTGAGGGACAAAGTGCACTTAGACAAAGAAGATTGACAAGAATTAGGGCTATCCGAACCTCATCCAGCATACCATTCTCTGGGTGTAACAAAAGCTGTGTTCTATCCCTTAGAACAATCTGTGGCACATAATATCGAGACAGCTGTTAGATTTTAAGGAGTTAGACGCGAAGCGCCTTTCTCATTGCAAACGTGCTCGTTTTATTGGTCGATAGTGCTCGAATGAACAAAACGGCCTCTTGTTTTTGTTACGGCCCAAACCCCGTGCTATTGGACCCGATCTCCCAAGCTTGCAAATGAACAATCGGTAGATATAGCAACCAGAATTTCTATCCACAAACATCAGCACTGAGTACCGTGTAGCTATGTGCTGCCACGACTTACAACATTACAACATTATATCGGGTATGGTGGTTATGAGATAAGGTCATATTGTTGTGAAAGTGATATCTGCTCTCAAACTTGCGTATCAAATGGCAGACGCTGAGAACATAAATGGCTTCTTCTTGTCATCAAAATCATGTTAGGGACAGTTATCCCCTGCACTTACGGATATCCGAGACCGTAACCACTTTCTCTCTAAACATACAATTGCGGAGCTCTCCTGCACCCAATCAGGCTTCTCGCTATTCCTCGTGAGAGGGAATTCTGACGCACAGTCTGCGCTTTTGAACAGGTGGTGCGATTTACAGCAGATAAGCACGACTGTTTTAGCCACTCCGCTGGACTGTCAGGTCATTGACACGATTCGTTACCGAATTACGGAGGCAAAAGTAACTGGAATTGCTCGGATGACGATGTTCTGATAGTGGTGAGGAGATGATGTCAATGATCTTGTGAGGATTTGGCTTTCTTCGACCACCCTTGTACCGAACCTCAGCTGATTTTAAAGCTCACATATCAGCTCACAAAAGCACCGATTTATCTTCAAAACACAACCGAAATAATATAGAAAAGTGTGGAATATCCAAGTACATTGAAGACTTCAAATGATTAGGAAGTGTATTGGCTGATATTATCATTATGGAAAATACATCTTGGTCTGCATATCACAATGATACTCCAAAAAGCATCCAACTCCTGTCTGTATATACAAGGACCTTTACCACCTAAAATATCAGCCGATATATATAATATCACACTTACGTATGATATATATATACGTATTTATATGACACACAAATCAAGTAAGTTATTATATATTTTTCAATAAGATATCTAAAGGATAATCCATGATTTTAGAGGAATACAATCTTGGAGCAAGTAATAATCGAGTTGTGTACAAGACTCTATTCTACAATTTTGGCTGAAGAGACCTCATTCAATGTCCATGCACATGCAGGAGCAAGTGTATTCTCATGAATAAACCAGCATTTTCCAGGCAATCATGTGATCAGCCAGCATTGAAGGGAAGAAAATTATGAAGGCCGGCAATATTGATGCGCACTTGCAGCATGCTCTAGCTAACACGCTAAAAAATTATTGGTATTTCGAAGCTCTCGCCAGTGACTCCAACGAGAAAAGCCGAGGGTAAAAAGCTCCCAAGTAATTAGCAAATTGATGGGAAGACCCAATCAAGCCGAAACCCTAATTGTGCTCGCCTTATGAAGCCCATGTTACGGTTGCCAAGTATCGTGAGCTGGCAAGTGGCCACATCTGAACTATGCATGCAGCACGGGTGCTTTTCTGCATGCGTCAACATGTTGGCCCATGAACTTAACTGTCTGATGGCTAAAGATAGAGAGGGAAAGCGGAGTCCCGCGATTTGTGGACTGTGTTCGACGAGCAGCTGCACAACCCGCTCTGACATATGCGTTTGAGCGGGACATGATCACCCGGGGACAAATTCCGCGACTATGGGCGGGTTTCAAATTCTACCTCCCGAAAGCTTACGGGAGTGGAATCTTTTCCCTCTGGAGTCCCCTTAAATATACGGATTTTCTCATTATTTTTGTTAGTTAAAATCAGTTTAATAATATTCAAATTACAATAAATCAATATTACAATTGTCATCAATGCAATAAAAACCTAATTTCCATCCACACCAAAAAATGTACACTTTTCCAAAAGAGCCAGTTTAAGGAGGAAGTCCTCCTAAAGTCCCCTTCGTAATCGGAAGGGGGCGGGGGATTGTTCAATCAGACTAAGTATCCACAGATTTACGAGAATGATAAGTTGACCATAAACTTTTTGGTGTACTTTTTTTTAACTACCAAGTGTGCGTCCCCGACCACGAGACAATGTCGCGGGAACGCCGAAAAGCGCCACACTCTGAAAATTTTTTAACGTTTTGTGACAAATTATTAGTGACTTGTATTCACGGTAGATCATGATAAGTTACTGCCTACGAAATTGTCATACGTAGTGGACTCAAATCGAGAGTCGTACTCCGATTATTTCATGGATGCAATGTGGTTGGAAGGGTGTGAGCTGGTGAGGCCTTGAGGTAGCTGTGGAAATACTTCGCGAGTGTAGTAAATGAAAGAACGTCCACTTTGAATTCTCCAATGATCACGGGTGGGTCTGAGCATTTTCCTGAATCATATTGTTTCGACGGTCACTTTTTGTGAAAGGTAGGGGACAAGAATATTAGATAATCTTGAGGTGCGTTTACGAATACCATACATGAATCCAGGTCCTTTTGTCAGCTCATATGAACTTTCTGAGGTTATGTGAACCTTGTATCATCTTCTTCCTCTATAGTTTGGCTTCACATTATATGATCTGATCTCATATCCCATGAAATATTAATCCTATACCACTGACAGCTCTTTTGGTATTTAGAACCGGACGTTGACGTCAAAGGGAGACATACGGAAACAAAATGCATAATGCAAGCACATAGACTGAAATACAAAGGAAAAGCCAAACATTGTCTGGAAATCCCAGCCCTTTTCTTCTAATGGATGAATCACTATGTTTCCAACTGCGGTCTCTTAATTCTGTAATTTCATGAAGAATTTTATAAATGAGATCCAAATTAAGCGACACTCATCAACATATATATATGGTATAGGCTAAATCACACTATAGTGTCATGCCTGTCTAAAATATGGCATATCATACCGAAGTAAAACGCACTCTTCAACCGAAACAAAATATCAATATCTTTTCTAGACATTCATCTATCTCCCAAGGCAAATGGAAAGTTGTTACTCAAGCAATATTTGATACTTAATGTTAGCGTTGATCTTCTATGTTACCTGGTTTTTCCATACTGTGATGATTTAACAGAAGATCATGAGAATGTGTCATCTTTGGTAATGACATGTGTAATCTATAGAGGTTTTAGATGACCGACTGTTACAATTTCTTTGATAAAATGTTTTAGATTAAATCATGTACACTGAGAATGTTCATTATTAGAAGCCAATTAGAATCTTAGTTTTTTCACGTTGAAATTACAATCCAAATCAATAATTTCGTAGAAAAGCTTTGATAAGAGAAATTTGACCAGAATGCGCAATTGTGATCATCTGAATGAAAATGTAGTATTTCCGTAGGTTATTTCAAACCCTAGAACAGAGTTTCATTATATTCATTGTAGATGCAATTACT